GCTATTTATTCTGCAAATATTTGTAACTACCTGTTATGCGATAGGTCCCTGGGCTAGGTACTTCCTCCTTTCCATGACTTCTGGAAGGTTTCTTGTGTAAACACACAAGCATTTTTTTTTTCTTTGAGAGTTCTACATGCTTCAAATACTTCTCATATATAAGTGGTGGTCTGTTCTCCATGAGTGCAGCAACCGATTAGCTCACCTGCAGGGAGAATCACCCACTGCACTGAGTGAGGAGGGTCCCAGGTGTCTGGTTGAGGCAGACGCTACACTGATGACCCCTAATGTGAGTTAAAGGACACTATATACAGAGGAGGGGGGAGTCATCTTGAGTAGATCTCCAGTATTGAGAATAGGAAGATGAAAAGGAACATAAAAAAAGAAAGTGGTGAAAGGAGGGGGTAAATGGCGATAGAAACTAGTACAGAAATACCTTACTTCACAAAATTGTTGAATTACCCAAAAGCTTATTCCAAAGTTTTGTAAAAAGCATCCCAACATACAAAAAGAGCTTGCTAAATCAAAGAAGCTTGCTACTTAAGACAATTTTTGTAAAGCAGGACTTCCTTATTTCAATTCAGATTTTATGTAGATGATAAGAACTCCTAACATTTTCAAAGCCCTTAGACATACAATATTTCTCTGAATCCTCACAAAAACTCCATGAGAACTGTTTTCTCTTTCACAGATGAGGAAAGTGCAGCTTGCGTATGGAAACCTGATGGGAAAAGGCTGAGGTTTAGCCTGGGATCCTGCAGCCCCACCAGTTGGCACTAATTAGCCCCATCACTTGTCTCTCCAGAGATAGGCAGAACACATGTGGCTTTATCAGGAAAATCTCTCCGATTTTCATAAAACTGCAACAGTGAATATGTCCTAGGTATCCCCATTTCTCCCATTCTTTTCCTCCAAATCACCTTCCTGGGTCTGCTTCCAGGCCCACCTTCCTAGAGTTCCGCTTGGATTATGCCACTCTCTTCCCCCAGCATTTCTGCTAGCTCCATACAGCCTATAAATAAAGTGCGGGCGCCACAGACTGGCAATCAGACCCTCTGCCTAAACCCCCATCCACTATTCAAACCCTCTCTCCCATTTCACTATGCTAGTTCTTGCCCTTTACACTCCAACCAAACAGACCTGTGTAGCGCCACTTAACACCTCAACAGGGCCAGGCTAGGGTGAGGAGGGACACAAAATTTAAGGGTTCACTACAGAACTCAGTAATCAAGATTTATATTTTAATGCAGTGTTTAAAAAAATAAAAATTAATGCCCAAAATGCGTGATGAAATAATACCAAAATTTCAAATAAAGACAGGGCATTACTGGTCTTTACTTTTGCTTCACACTCCAAAGTGCCTTCCAGGGGCACTGTTACTGGTCCTGCAGCGACTCCCCACTTAGATACTTTTAATAATGATGTTTCCCAAAAGCTATTTCTCACAACCCCTTTCTACATTAGTGACTTCTCCCTTCTTGAATGCTTCAGCATTTATTTGTAGCTCTCTACTGTCAGGAAAACCCATTTCCCCTGGTAACTGGTAGTACTTTGAAGGCAGTCTGAATCATCTTGGATCCTTTCCAGCGCCTTCCCAAACCACAGTGGGCACTCAGCACCTCTCTGCTAAAAGAATGCAGAATCACAGCTCGTAAATCGGTGTCTGTGAAGTTCAGCAAGAAAGGGGACCCATACATGTTTTGTTTGGTCCGGAGTGTTCTGAAAAGATTGAATTTATCATCAAGATGTAAAATTAGGGATCTTTCACATGGAAGAAAAATCTAGATCTCTATCATTTCTTGAAGAATCAGAAAATCTAGCAAAACCAGGTCGGAATTCTTGCATGATTGCAATGGGCATTTAGAACAGGGCAGCGGCCCTGCCTTTGGGGCTCTCCAGTTCGCCTCCTACCCATCTCACTCACTTACAATTGCCTGCCAGGCCCCATTAGCTCTGAGTTTGGGATTGTAAGCATAAAGGAACGAATGCACTGGATAAAAACCCACCTGCTGGGTCCACTCGTTCTTTCCGGGAGAATAAATGTTTCCTGGTTGTCCTTTCGAAAATAGTCTTACAGAGAGGCTCATAGAAGCAGCCCACCTTCCTAGCCCACAAACTTCCCATCCTGTGAAACTCGCATTGGCCCTCACTCGCTGACCAGTTTCTCCCCGGTCCTTCGCAGGGCGCCCGCCCTTACTCTGGCCCTTCCCTTCCTCCCCTCACCCCCGCGCTCTGGAAGCTGGGGCGGGTCCCGGCCCCCTGCCGCTGCTCTTTGCCCCGGGCCAGGGCGCTCCGGCTCGCCCACGGCGGCACTGGGCATGCTCAGAGGCAGCCGCGGGGGCAGGTTTGCTTCGCGGGCGCTCGCATTCGGCGGCGGGCGGGCGCTCGGCTGCAGCTGGAGCTCTAGCGCCCGGAGTTAGAGTTGCCGAGAGTTTCCCCCCACCCCTCCCTCTTCGCGCGCGGCAGCAGGAGCCGGCGCGGGAGCCGCGAGCGGCGGGGAGCCAGCACCCGGGGCGGCTGAGCCTTGTTCGGAGCCCGGGGCCGGAGCTCCGCGCGGGGCAACCCCCGGGGAGGAGCCTCGTCGGCTGGGACGCGTGCCGCGCACTGGCACGGACGGGACACGAGCCAGGCTGCACGGTAGGGCCCGGGCGTGGGGACCCGGGCGGGCTAGACGGAGGCCAGGCCAGGGGGGATGCGGTTGCAGCCGCCCTGGCTGTTGGGGCGCCCGGCGCTCCGTCCGATGCGGGCGGCCCGGGTAGGGGCCGGCTGCGGGGCTGGAGGAGTAGGCAGACGCCCAGAGAGATGCTTTCAAGTTGGCGGGTGGCGGGAGAGGGGGCTGCGCGCCCCGGCGCAGCTGTTTTGTGCGCGCAGAGAGGGACTTGGGTCCCTGCTTCGCTCCAGACCTGGGACCCGGTGTTTGGGCACGATTGGGCAAGCCGCGGAGCGGAACAGTTTTCTCCGAGAAAGTTGAGGATGGAGCCCTCTTTCCTCACTGTCCCTGCGGTAGGATGGGCCCCCGAAGGCGCCGGCTCGAGGCCACCAGTGTGGGGAACTCAGTGGGTCGCTGCGCCCCTAGGCTGAGCTCCCCTATCCCCGGCAGAAACCTGCGAATCACGCCAATCTTTGCGAACCTTGGCGTCTTCTAGGAAAATCATTGCTGCCAAAACTGTGGCGCGCTTTTCTGGCGGGCACGGCTTCCTGCCCCCTGGGCTCTTAGCACCGGGCAATGCCCCTTCTCCAGACCTCAGACGTGGTCAAGGGCGCCAGGCTCCGAATTCACGCCTGCAGTGCTCGCCGGAATCGTGCCTCACACGCACGGCGGGGCAACGTGGCTGGACTAGGTGGATGGCCCGATTTTTCCTCTAGCCCTTCCTAAGGTTTACAACCCCCTACTACCCCATCCCATTCATCTTCTCAGAGGACGGTACCTGGAGGTGGACAGTCGGAATGACATTGTTTTTAGGAGAGGGCGCCTGGGGTGTATCTGCCTTTGGTTCTGGCCCCAGGACTTTAAAAGGAACCTCCTCCCCTTTCTATTGTGCTTCCTCAGGGACTGGCTGGGAAAGAATAGGGCCGGTGGGTCCACAGGAACATCCACCTCATTCCACTGGCTTCTAAGATCGCGATCTGGGCGACCCCAGGACCCTGGAACTGGCATTGTGCAGATTGCAAGGGTGTGGAGGATGACGACGGTTTCCCCTGGCTCCACTTTTTTCACTTCTTGTTTTGAGTTTTGGGGTTTTGCCTGCACACTAGTCAGAGCTGTGCTGTCATAACCCTGGGGGTGGAGGAACTTCAGCCGAGGCAGTGAGCCGCTGTTCGCCTCGGAGGCTGCTAGTGGGAATCGGTCCAGAAATGATTATGCAGGCTAGAAATATGCCTCTCTTTTTTTCTTTTTTGGCTGAACACCTTGGCTGTTGAGTTTGTGTGTTAAGTTCTTAAAGGGACACTCTCATACTAAAGTGTCAGGATTTAGGGGCTCACCATTTGTGCTGCATGTTTTTCTCTGTTTTTTCCTTGGGGGTAGTCTGCTTTGGGGCAGATTTCCAGACGTGGGAATCACATGGTGTGGATACACTACACAGTTCTAGAGTCAGACCTGAGGTCAAGTTTCAGCTTTATAGCTGATGACAGTGCTGATGGTCAAAATATTAGCCACTCTGAACTTCAGTTTTCTCTTCTGTCAAATGGGAATAATGGTGGCCTTATCTCCCTCCATTAGAGGTTTGTTGTGAGACTTGGATGAAATAATGGAAATGAAAAGTGCTAAGAAACTTTAAAGCACCATTCAGGTCTTAGGTATTATCTCTGTGCGCTTTACTGAGGTAGTTTGAATTAATCTAAAATTATAACAAGACATTTAAGTCTTCTCTCTACCCACTCCTCATCAAGTGTTTTAGTTGCTTGAGTCTTTGGAAGTAGCTATTTACCTTTTTTGCCCACTCTATCTTAAAAATCCACCTGTCTTTTAAGTGTCAGAGCTCCAGTCCTCATATTTATCTGAGGGAAGCAGCATGATATAGATCAGGAGATGACCAGGGTTGATTTATCAACATTCATGGTCCTGGCCCCCAGAATTGGCACATCAGCAAGGCCTTGGTTTGAGATCCAAGGTTGATGAAGTCATCAGCAGACCCTGGGAACCCTTGACTTCTAATAGTGACCTTGAAGTAAGGACTCAACCCGCATCTGTGACATCAGTCTATGAGATTAAAATAAAAGCCAATGCCAGTTGGAGGCAAGAACAGGTGAGTTCGTCACTGGGTTAATAAGGCTTTAGCAGGCCGCTGAGCCACTCCAGGTGCTGTATCTTCCCTAATCCTAGGGTAGTGGTTCTCACACATGGGCATCAAAAGACCTTGAGGGCTTGTTAAACCACAGATTGTTGGGCTACACTGCCAGAGTCTGAGTCTCTAGGTCTAGGGTGGAGGTCTAAGAATTTGCATTTCTAACTTGTTCTAGGTAATGCTAATGCTGCTGTAGACCCTGCCTGTGGAATCACTCACTTACAGGTGAGAGTAAGAGAGATGAGCTTTGTTCTGAAATGTCGTTGTTTTACTACCTCATATATAAAGACAGATATTCTTTGGGGCACTTTGGGAAGTTAGTTGCCTTAAGCATTTTATATTCCAATACCTGTGCCACTTACAATTGTCCAGTTTTAATATTAATAATTCTGATTGCTCTTCAGATGAATGAATTTTACAAAAAGGTAGGATTCCCCCCTTCTTTTCACACTGTAAAATACTTAGTCTCTGGTTTCTAGATCACTCTTGGGTAGTCAGAGATTGGCGACCCTTATATTGATAAATCCAATAACTACCTTATTTCTTTCCTTTGGGGATCTCAGGCATTTGAGAAAAGAAGGTTACATACAATTCTGACCACTTGAATCTTGTAGTTGGAGGACAGATTAAATCATTTAGGAGCAAGTTTGGAAAGAATTTTCAGTGGTGTTTTCTCTGAATGGACAGCTGCCCCAGGCCTGGGTGGGCGGTGGGTGGCATGAAGTACACTCCACTTCAGATATCCCTTGGTAGTTAGACCCGGCAAAGACCTTTTGGAGGAAGGTGGTATTGGCAGTGGCTGAGACCCTCTCTCACTTTCGAAGGGGATGGAAGGCCAGCTTTCAGGGGCAGCTGTGCAGTATCAGTGTGGTGTCCTGTGTAATTTAGTTTATAATCAAGCACTGTTTTGACTCAACCCAATCTTCAGCTCTTCTTCTTGTCTCCCCAGCCATGGTTCTGTGCTGAGAGCTTGCCATGACTTACGATGACCTAGATTGTGGCCTTGAATTTTAACTGCTTTGCAACAGAGAGGCTTTGGGAGCCCGCTTGAGTCAGGAGGGTTTTTGCGATAACATCCTAAGGAAGAAATAAAGTTTATGTAATGTAGCACCCAAATGGACTAGGTTTTCGAGGAGGTCAGTCAGCACTTTGACTAGTTTTTGTGTTGTGCCAAAAGGGATCCCAGCTGACCATCATGCTTTATCTAAGCCCTCCATTTGTGCTTTGTTTTAGTTTTAAAATGATTAGCACTAGAGAAACCTATCAGTAAATCAGAAACCTATTCAAAAACTCAAGTGTACCACTTAGTGTTCTAATAGATAAAACTGCAAGGCCCAAACCTGTCTTCCTGACAGTAATCAGCACTCGGTGAAGGAATAGCCTTCAGGTTGTAATTCTTAAGATTCGTTAGCTGATTTAAATGGTTTCTCCCACTTAATATAAGTAGGGAACATTTCTATTTTAAAATTCCTTCCCATAACTTGATGTTTATATTTTGGGTGTTACCCCTACTTTTTGCTGCTGGGATTTTTTTCCAGTGTGAGGGAAGCCTCTTATCACTGTTGTTCACTTTTCTCAGTACATGATGTCTTTGCTCCCTTTAATAAATCTGTTGTGAGGTAGTCATTGTGATACTTTATTTCTCTTTGGTCATCAGGGCTGTTGTTACTGGGTCACAGAGAGTCAAGGCCCATTCCTGGAACACTAGTCTCAGTGTTCCTAGAGGGTGCTTTTAAAGTAAAACTCTGGTTAAACTGCACTAGCTCAGTTCTAAGATGTACTTTTTCCAATTTCAGAATCTAGATAGGTCTTTAAAAACTATGAACACATTTAACGTACAGTTTCTCTTGTTCTTTTTCTGTAACCTGGCATGTTAATAGAATGTCGACCAATTGGTGGCATCCTAAAACAAAGCAAATTTAGTTACTTCCCCAGTAGAAAATATGGTTTCTATTCCATGCTGTCCAGCCAATAGACTTGAGCAGCAATCGAATTAGCTCAGCAGTTCCCGGAGTATGTTGGAAGAATGTTGTTGGTGTGGATGGTAATAGGGGTGCTCTTAGAAAGGACGTATCAATTTGGGAAACACTGTCTATTATTTTTTCCTCTTATAGAGATTCTCAACATGGGCATCATTATATCAAAGACTCTGAGAAGTACTATAGTTAACAATATTAACAATAATAACTTGGTTATGTTTATTTAAGTCAACGTTTCCCAGAACGCTGAACATTTTCAATGTTATGTAAGTATCCTTCAGGACTCCATCACTAAATTACTACATTCCAACAATTCTAATATGTTGTTTAACACCATCTACAGGTAGGGTGGTTTCACTTAGTGTAATCTCTGATATATAGGGTCATACATTAAATATAGATATTAATTGATGAATGTACTCTATAGGTGATTACTTGTTTTTTATTTCAGAGTAGGGAGGAACATTTTAAGCTGTGGTGGCAAAGAAAGTCTCCATGAAGGAGCTGGATTGTGCTAATGTAAATGGTGGGTAGCACTTTTCTAGAGAGAAAGGGCATTTTAGGTTGGGGGATAGTGAAGCAGGAGTGTGAAGACTTGTATTTGCACCTGTATATAAATAATTTTCAGCACATACAAGAAAAAGGATTGTGCCTAGCACCGTGTGAGACTTAGTGAATCTGTGGTGGTGGTCGAATAACCTATTAAGTTCTTTCTTCTGTAAATTCACTGAAGTGGCAGAGGAGTTCTAGTGATGACAGGAGAGCATGCTGAGGACAAGCAAGAGTGGAGGCACAGCACTCAGGATGAAAGCAAGGGGGCGTGCATGGGACGGAACTCCAGAATTTAAGTATTCCTGGGCCATTAATCATTAGGGAAATGCAAATCAAAACTGCTGTGAGATACCACTTCACACCCACCAGGATGGCTAGAACCAAAAAGACATAATAACAAGGGGAGGATATGGAGAAATTGGAACCCTTGCACATTAGGTTGCTGACGGGAATGTAAAATGGAGCAGCCACTTTGGAAAACAGTTTGGCAGTTCCTCAAAATGTTAAATATTGGCTTCCTAATGGCCAGTTCCACTCCTGGGAATATACCCAAGAGAACTGGAAACACATTCATGCATACACTTGTATACGAATATTCGTAACAGCCTTATTCTTAATAGCCCAAAAGTGGAAACAGCGCAAATGTTCATCAACTGAAGAATGGATAAACAAAATGTATATCCATACAATGGAAAACCATTCAACTATAAAAAGGAATGAAGTTTTGATTCATGTTACAATATTGATAGACCTTGAAAACATGCCTTGTGAAAGAAGCCAGCCACAAAAGGCCACATAGTGTATGATTCCATTATGAAATGTCAAGAATAGGGAAATCCATAGTGACAGAATTACATTAGTGGTTTCTAGGGGCTGGGGAGAAGGAGAAATGGGGAGTGTCTGTTGATGGGTGTGGGGTTTCTTTTTGGGGAGATGAAAATGTTGAGGAATTAAATACGGTGATGGTCACACAACTTTGTGACTACACTAAAGACTACTGAATTGTACATCTTAAAAGGGTGAATTTATGGTGTATGGATTGTATCTCAACTTAAAAAAAAAAAGAAGAAGAAGGTGGCTGGGGCCAAAGGAGAGTGGAAAAAAGTGAGGAGAAAAGTCCAGGGATGGGGTGTCAGTTTCAGGTCAAATTTTCTGCTACTGGGAAAAAATATCTGGATTATTCGTTTCTCGTTGTTTGTCTTTGCGTCTTCTAGGATTATCCTGCTACTGTCTCATCCAAAAGTCCTTTCTCTGAGTTAAAAGGGTTTTGTTTCAAGTTGCTCCTGAGTCAGTGGGATAGTTTTCATGGCAAATGCCTTATCTTTAAATTTGAGTGTGTTTCTGGATTTCCTTCTGGAGACGAATTCCATAATTAGGCTCCCTTGTGTGATCCACCAGAGGGCATGCTCACTATGCAGCTTGTGTTTTGCTTCTCCCCTAAGATTTGACTGTGGTAGACATTTCAGTGTCATCTTCTAATTCATTTGGGGAACTCTGTCAAGAATGTTCCCTGCCTGTTTTTAAAAAATCTGACTGTATCCAAACAGGGTTCGTGGGGTACTTGGCATTGCATGAACATCAACATATTTAAGTGCAAGAGTCATGATACTAAATGAGGTTTAACCCACTGGGGCTGGGGCATTTGAGCCCTGGATAGAGACACTCTTCTCTCTTTAGCAGTGTGGTATAGCTGCATTTCTCAAATGTGTTTTCAGGAAGCACTTGCCGATTTTATCAGATTGCTGATTTTGAGTCATTGGGCCTGGGATGGGTTCTGATATTCTGCAGTTCTAACAAGCTCCCCCAATGTGGATGCTGCTGTTCCGTGGATCACACTTTGAATAGAAAAGATGGCTTTGGAGTGGGTCAGAGCTGAGTGTGAAATATGGCTCCACTGTTGCTGTGCTGTGGGACCTTGGACAAGGTAATTAACATCTGAGCCACAGTTTCTTACCTATAAGATCAGAGTAAGACCGAACACGTAGAAAGGTGCCTAGCATGATGTGCCTGGAGTGCTACATGTTATTTGCCTTCTGCCCATAGGGACCAAGAATTCCATGGTGAGGATTAAGGAACAAAACATGGATGAAAGCCAAGGCCAAGAGGTTTTTGATTTGTGGGCGGGGTTAGTATGAGGACAGGGTGTAGGAGACACGGTATGAATCCTAGTTCTCAGGGCAAAATTAATTTGTTTATTAGTTTTCAAATTATTGTAGCTTTGTTCAGGTCTCTGTGTTAGTGTCAGCTGAGTCCAGATCATTTTTAGTCCACATGTTTGGACTTTACTCTGCTGTCATGGAGTTGGTTTCTTTTTGACCATAAAGTCATCCCAGTTGTAGCACCATCTCAGTTGGTGCTACAGTTCCTTGGTGTGGGGGGATCTGCCCATCCTGGCCTAGCTGCTTTCTATTCTCACTTACATTTAGCTCATAGGAAAGCCAGAGGAAATAAAGGGAGCGAAAATGCAAACCTTTGAGCTTCATTAGCAGCATGAGTTAAAGTTTCCAGGGATGAGGTTGAAAATATTTGCTTTATTGTTGACTTCAGAAAATCTGGGCCTTTCATTAGCTTACCTCCCATGAATCTATTAACTCTGGGAAAGTTAAATTGAATTAGGTTAATGGGGAGCACTTGGAGAGGAAGAAGTGGGAACTAAAACCTGACATTGGCTGCTATTCTCCCACCTGGAGCCTG